CGCGTTACACCACGGTCTTCCCCTTGCGCACCAAGGGTGAGGTCCCTGCTGTTCTGATCCCTTGGATCCGCACGGTTCGTCTCCAGCTCCGCCGCCGTTTTCGGACGGATCTTCCTGTCCTGCGTCTGCACTCTGACAGAGGTGGTGAGTTTTCCTCCGATCTCTTGAGGACCTTCTGTCAGGCGGAGGGCATCGAGCAGACCTTCACGCTTCCGGACTCCCCACAGCAGAATGGGGTTGCTGAGCGCCGCATTGGCCTGGTCATGGAGGTCGCTCGTACCTCCTTGGTCCACGCGGCGGCTCCCCATTTTCTGTGGCCGTTTGCTGTCCGGTACGCCGCGCATCAGCTCAACCTCTGGCCCCGTGTCTCCTTGCCGGAGACCTCGCCCACACTGCGTTGGACGGGGGAGGTTGGCAATGCGTCGCGCTTCCGGGTGTGGGGTGCTCGTGCCCTTGTCCGCGATACGTCCGCGGACAAGCTCTCCTCCCGCACGCTTCCCTGTGTCTTCCTTGGCTTTGTCCCTGACGCGCCTGGCTGGCAGTTTTACCACCCCACCTCGCGCCGGGTCTTCGCCTCTCAGGATGTCACCTTTGACGAGTCGGTCCCTTTTTACCGTCTCTTCCCCTACCGCACTGCCCCCCTCCCTCCCCCGCCGCTTTTCCTTGCTCCTGGTCCCCCTCCGGTAGACCCCCTTCCCCCTCAGGGTCCTGCTCCTTCAGGTGTCTCTCAGGTAGACCCTCCTCCCGTCGCTGAGCCTGTCGAGGTCACAGGTGACTCAGGTGCTGCTGCGGGTGGTGCTGCTGGGAGTGCTGAGCCTGGGGGTGCTGAGCCTGGGGGTGCTGGGCCTGGGGGTGCTGGGGCTGCAGGTGCTGGGACTGAGGGTGCTGGAGCTGAGGGTACGGTGCCTGAGAGTATGGAGCCTGGGGGTGCTGCGCCTGGGGGTGCTGAGCCTGCGGGTGCGGGGCCTGGGAGTGCTGGGACTGCGGGTGCTGGAGCTGAGGGTACTGTGCCTGAGAGTTTGCCGCCTGGGGGTGCTGCGACTGGGGGTGCTGAGCCTGCGGGTACTGAGCCTGCGGGTACTGAGCCTGGGGGTGCTGCTACTGAGCCTACGGAGCCTCGGGTTACTGCGTCTGGGGGTGCTCCGGTTCGGGGTGCTGAGCAGTCTCTCACACCGCAGCAGCTTCGTGACTGGTACGTCCGACGCTTTCGCCGTCCTAGTGGCTCGGCTGGAGTTTGGGGTGCTGGAGCTGCTCGTCCTGGGGGTGCTCGTACTGGGGGTACTGGAGCTGCCGGGACTGGCTGTTCTGGGAGCACTGTGACTGGAGCTGCTGGAGCTGAGGACTCTGGCGCTGGCGGTGCTAGCGGAGTTGGAGCTGCCGACTCTGGGGGTGGCGCTGCTGCTGGTGCTGCGGACCCACCTGGTGGAGCTGCTGCTGGTGCTGAGGAGTCGGACGGTGGAGCTGCTGCTGGAGCTGGGGACCCGGCCGGTGGAGCTGCTGCTGGTGCTGAGGACCCGGCCGCTGGAGTCCCGTCTACTTCTCGAGACACTGCGTGGCCGCGACCGTACTTCGTACCGCTCCTTCAGCAGGTTCTTGGGCAGGCTCCTCCTCCTTGTCCTCCTCCCTCCGTAGAGTGTCCTCCGCCTGTCCAGCCGCAGTCACAGTTACCGCCTGCCTCGCCTCTCCCTGCTCCCTCTCCTTATACTGGTCCCACAGGAGGTCTTACAGAGCGTCGTGAGCCTGAGTCTCGTCCTGCGTCGCCTGTTCGTCCTGCTCGCACTGGTAGTCGTGTCCGTCGTGAGCGTCCTCCTCCTGTCCCAGGCACTCACTACATGACTCTGCGTCCCTCTACTGCTCCTCGGCGTGTCCCTCTACCGTCTCCTCCTGCGTCCTCTTTGCCTGCCGTTCCGGACCCTGAGTCTGACCGGTATCGCGCTGAGCACCCTACAGTCACGCGTCTCCTTGCTACTGTTGTCACTGACCCCACCTTTGAGTCCTCGGCTGCGTCTGCTCTCGTCGCTGAGTTGGTTGACTTTGCTGCTGCCTGTCGTCTAGACTACGCTGCTAGCCTTGTCGCTGAGTCAGAGTCTGCGTCTGTCTGTCCTCCGTCCGTCGGGGGTGAGTGTGCTCTTGGCACGGACGTCCTTGAGGACAGGCAGGAGGACTTTGACTCTCTTGCGGCTGCTGTACCTCATCTCGTGGCCTGGTTGCTTGCCCCTGAGGGAGACCCGGATGCAGTAGACATCCCCACTCCGCGCACTTACGCAGAGGCGATCTCGGGTCCCTACTCCTCTCAGTGGCAGACAGCCATGGACGCAGAGATGGCATCCTGGAAGTCCACAGGCACCTACGTCGACGAGGTTCCCCCTCCTGGGGCGAACATCGTCGATGGCATGTGGATTTTCAGGGTGAAGCGGCCGCCAGGTTCTCCGCCTGTCTTCAAGGCTCGTTACGTTGCTAGAGGCTTCAGTCAGCGTCAGGGGGTCGACTTCTTCCTGACCTTCTCCCCCACCCCGAAGATGACCACTCTTCGGGTTCTGCTGCACGTTGCTGCTCAGCGTGACTACGAGCTTCACTCTCTTGACTTCAGCACAGCGTTCCTACAGGGCAGCCTACACGAGGAGATCTGGCTGCGCCGCCCACCTGGCTTTACTGGGTCGTTTCCCCCTGGTACCCAGTGGAGTCTCCGCCGGCCAGTCTACGGTCTCCGCCAGGCGCCACGTGAGTGGCACGACACACTGAGGACTACTCTTGCGGCTCTTGGGTTCGCGCCGTCTACTGCTGACCCGTCGCTGTTTCTGCGCACAGACACGTCGCTGCCGCCGTTCTACATCCTCGTGTACGTCGACGACTTGGTCTTTGCTACTGCTGACACTGAGGCACTCGCTCGTGTGAAGTCGGAGCTGCAGAAGAGACACACCTGCACTGACCTGGGTGAACTGCGTAGCTACCTTGGCTTGCAAATCACCCGGGACAGAGCTCGCCGCACCATCACCCTGACTCAGTCACACATGGTGCAGCAGGTCCTTCAGCGCTTCGGCTTCCAGTTCTCCTCACCACAGGCCACACCTCTGGCTACCAGCCACTCGCTCTCAGCTCCACCTTCGGACGAGTCCGTAGAGCCGAGTGGCCCGTACCCAGAGCTTGTAGGCTGCCTCATGTACCTGATGACTTGCACGCGACCTGACCTCGCGTACCCTCTTAGCATCCTTGCTCGTTACGTTGCGCCTGGGAGACACAGGCGAGAGCACTGGGAGGCTGCTAAGAGGGTGCTGCGTTACCTGTGCAGTACATCAGGCATGGGGCTGGTGCTTGGAGGACGCGACAGAGTTGTCCTCACTGGTCACTCGGACGCCTCTTGGGTGGACGACCTGGCTACGCAGCGGTCGTCACAGGGTTACACCTTCAGCCTTGGCTCAGGTTCTGTCTCGTGGCGGTCCACCCGCTCTTCCTCTGTTCTCGGCTCTAGTTGTGAGGCTGAGATCTACGCCACAGCCATGGCTGCACAGGAGTTACGCTGGCTCACCTACCTGCTGACTGACTTGGGAGAGCGGCCTAGTTCTCCTCCAGTTCTGTACGGTGACAACAAGGCGGCTCTTGCCTTGTGTCAGGAGCACAGACTGGAGCACAGGACGAAGCACATTGCTCTTCGCTACTTTCTTGCTCGAGAGCTTCAGCAGCGCGGTCAGCTTCGGCTTGTGTACGTGGACTCGAAGGCCAACACTGCTGATATCTTCACCAAGGCGCTCCCGCCTAGTGATCATCAGCGGCACTGTACTTCTTTAGGCCTTGTGTCCACGTTTCCTCACTTGCTCACTGCTTGACATTCTTTGTACTGTACTTTATATATATCTTGTTGCTTGTTTGCTAGGTTTTGATCACTGTGTTGCTTGTCTTGTACTATATCTAGCACTGCATGTGAACTGGCCTTGTGGCCTTTACTTGTGCTCGGAGTGTGGTGACGTTGTGATCCACTTTGGGCTTTGCTTTGCTTTGTTGGACTGGTCTTGTGACCCTTTGTTCTCCCCCACTTTGCCTATGGGGGTGTGTTAAACTGTATTATGCTTGTAGGCTGTAGTGGGGTAGCCAATATGGGGTACAACCCCAACTAGGGTTTCATATTTGTACCCAAACTTCTGCTAGTTCATCATTCTTCCCTAGTGATTCTGATATTTACCCTCAGGTTATTTATAAGAGGGTTGGTGCTTGTGGAGGGTATTTTACCAAGGTTTACCCTTTATTCTTATGCATGTAGTTGGGGATTGCATTAAGGAGGAAGGTGTGGACATAAGGAAGGTTCCTTGGGAATAAGAGTAAGATGAAGGTTCCTTGGAAGGTGGCTTGTTGGAAGCTTCATTGGTGGAAGCTAGGAAGGATCTATTGGGGAAGGAGCATGGAAGGAGCATGGAAGGGGAATGAGGAAGGCAACAAGGAAGGTTCCATGGTGGGGATTCCCTTGGAGATATGGGTAGGCTCAATGGAGCACTCTCATTGGTTAGTTGGATTGCTAGGATCCGCGGCCAATAGAGAAAGGATTCATAGGATTGCATGAATAAGATAGAAGGATGGTGGTTTGGGTATGCCCTTCCACTATATAAAGTCCTTGTAGGTTGTGTGTAACTCATATCTTTCATAGTGCATTCTTACCAATGCCACAAGCTCTCTCAACCTTCTAGCTACCTTGGTGCCTAGCCCTCTCAATCTACCTTGGAGTACCCTTGGAGTCTACCTTTGGTGGAGCATCCTACTGGTGGAGAAGAGCCCAAGGAGAGGGCTGCTACTCTACAAGGGAGGAAGTGTTGGCCAAGAGAAGGGTGTTTTGTATTACAAGGAAGAGAGAGAAGGTCACGTGTATCCGGGTGATGTCCAAGAAGGAAGGTCAGAAAGTTTCAAAAGTTATTGATTTTGTGGTGGCCCATACAGGTCCCTCTCTCCCTTAGGCTGAGAAAACGAACGTTGTGCGTACTCCTACTAACACCATGTCGACGATTGCTGCAGCTATGGGCCAGCTCCAGCGGTTCGATGGACGCTCTCCCGACCCCAAGGTGTGGCTAAGCCAAGCCACGAGGGCGATGAGGTGCTTCCTTGCGAACACGATGGACGAGCAAAAGTTGGACTGCCTTCTCATACACCTGACGGACTCTGCCTACGTGTGGGCGGAAAGCAAGAACTTCACGACGGTGTCGGGGTTCGAACAAGCGTTCCAGAGTCGGTTCGTTTGGGAGAGCACGGCAACCGTGATGCATAAGCTGGCGAAGTTGAAGCAGAAAAAGGGGCAAACGGTGACGGAGTTGGCGGATGAGGTGAGGCAATTGGCGGCCTATGTCAAGGACTACCTGGTCGCCATGATGGTGAGAGCATTCATTGAGGGATTGGAGGGCCCGGGGTTAAGGGATAAAGTGTTGGGAGGAAGGCCGGTATCATTGGAGGCAGCAGAGGAAGCCGCTAAGTACTTTGTGACCTACGCGCAGCCAAAGGAGATAGAGGAAAAGAAGTGGAGGTGAAGGAGGAGTCGGATGTGGACAAGATCACGAAGCAGTTGGAGAAGTTAGCCATGCAGCTGACACAGATGCAGCAGGGAAGGGGAGCGGGTATCCTACCTAGGCCGGGTGGAGGAGGAGGAGGAGGAGGTTTTAAGTGTTACCAATGTGGGAAGGAGGGACACATGGCTAGGGATTGCACTCAAAAGGGGAGGCAGGCCATGAACGTAATGCAGCAGATCATGGAGAAGACGAGGCCGACCATGACCATAGCGGAATTTTTGAATGGAGAGGAGGAAGGAGTGGAAATGTTGGTGGGAGAAAGGAAGAGGCGTGCCATTAGGGATCCAGAAGGATGGGGAATCGAGGAGGCAAGGGATGAGTTGAGGAAGAAGTTGGCGGAAGGGGGAGAGGAGGCAAAATGATCGAGGTTTGTGAGGGGAAAGGCGAGGATATCGTCCCTCCCCACGTCCTACAATGTGGTGGATCAACTCAAACTCACACCAGTGAGTGCGAGTGTGTGGAACTACAACAAGGATAGCGACAAGGTGAGAAAAGAGTTGTTGGAGGCCCTAAAGAAGGGGGATGAGGAGAAGGAAGATGGGGCAGCCGCTATGCAAGGAGTGGCAAAGGTAGTGGCAGCCGCACCGGTGTAGGCAAAGGGGGAGAAGGAGGCGCCTAGAGCTAGTAACCTAATCTTTCAGATCCCACAATGCGACGTGTACCTCGGGAAGCATCGGGTGACCGCGATAGTTGATTCGGGAGCTTCACAAACCGCCTTATCCCACGTGATAGCTAGGAAGCTTGGGCTGTTACCATACATCCAAGATACCACCATAGAGTTCACCACCTCTAGCGGAGAGACTTCGAAGCCGTGGGAGATTTTGCCGGACGTGCCGGTTAGGGTAGGGAAGCTGACTCTACCAGTAGACATTGCTGTAACGGGAGCAAACACATACGACATGCTCCTAGGGCAGGATTTGATCTATTCGGCCAACGCGGACATCTTGACTAGCAAGGGGAAGATAGTCTACCAGGGTAACACCACGGACGACTCAGTCCCCATCACTACGGGACCATTGGGTGGTGCTACCCGTCCCTCTTTTGTGCTTTTCCCTTCCCACACAGTTCACAGGAACATCAAAGAGGAGGACGAGGGGTGGATCAAGGAGTGGATGGAGGAGCGGGATTTCCTCAATTGGATGGAGGAGAGGAGGGTGGCCATGGCGGAAGAGGAGGGTAGGATGGAGTTAACCGCGGAGGAGGAGGATGAGTATTATCTATGGCTTAGGGAGCAGGAGGAGGAAGAGGAGAAGGAGGAGGTTTCTAGTGAGGAGTTCGAGGAGGAAGAAGGGGAGAAGGAGATCAAGGAGGCTAGAGGAGAAGAGGAGGAGACTTGGGGGCATGACTTTGGGAGCCCAACGGCGGATGAGATGGGAGCATGGGATACGATGGGCACGGGGATTGATTGGGACAAGGAGTATGAAGAGATGGTGGAGAAGTATGTAGAGGAGGTGAACGAGGCCAAGTTGGAAGGGGACTCGATGGTGGATGGAGAGGAATATCTAGACCAGGGGACGGAGGATTGGGAATTGGTGTACGATAAGAAGCGGAAGCGGATCAGCCCGGACCACCTTTTCGAACTATTTAACTACCCTGCAGCAGAGAGGTGGAATTACCTTGCAGCAGAGAAGGGGGACGAGGGGAGGATCATCTTAGGGAGCTACTACACCCTCAAAAAGGAGGCACCTAGGGTAGCTTGCCCCGCGTTTGAGGACCTGCCCGTATCGTTGAACCACGAGTTGGGGGAGCAGCAGCAAAAGGAGGTGCGGACGCTTTTGGTGGAGTATAGGGATATTTTCTCAACAGAGAAGGAGACGCTAGGAACCCACCCCACTATTCGCCACCACATCTCCACAGGCACCGCTAAGCCTATCGCTCATAAGCCATACCGAGTCTCACCATCTGAACGCGCTAGAATCGAGGAGGAGGTTAGTACCTTGCTCAAGCAAGGAGCCATTCGCCAATGTAACAGCCCATGGTCATCCCCATGCATAGTGATCCCTAAGAAGGACTTTGGGGATCGGGTGGTGATCGATTACCGTCCGCTCAACGCCGTCACGGAAGCAGCCGATCAATTTCCCATGCCGCGGATAGACGAGATCCTAGATAAGATGACGGGTTCGCTCTATTTCTCGGTACTCGACGTCAAATCCGCCTACCATACCATCCTTGTAGCAGAGGAGGACGTTCCAAAGACGGCGTTCGTTACCTCCACGGGTCAGTACGAATACACACGGATGCCGTTTGGTCTTAAGAACGCACCTGCCACCTTTCAACGCCTCATGACCACCACTTTCCGCACCCATATCAACGCCATCCCATACCTAGACGACATCATCGTCTTTTCCAACAGTTGGGAGGAGCATCTTGACCATCTGCGGGATGCATTTGAGAGGATCAAGGAGAACCATCTCTTGTTGAAGTGGAACAAGTGTGAGCTGGGTTTTTACTCTACCATCTACTTGGGGCATGTGGTGACGAGGGAAGGAGTGAAGCCGGACGGGGGAAAGGTGGAGGCAATTAGCAACATGGCGGCACCAGTGGACCAGAGGGGAGTAAGGGAGTTTTTGGGGTGCACGAGCTACTATAGGAGGTTCATCGAAGGGTATGCCAAGGTGGCACACCCCTTCACGCAGCTGCTCCATAAGGACCGACCTTTCGAGTGGACCCAAGCATGCGAGCACGCATTCAACACCCTCAAACTCGCACTCATCTCACCCCCCATCCTTGCATTCCTCGATTTCCAAAAGCCATTCGTTCTCCAAACAGATTTCTCGGCCAAGGCATTGGGAGCTATCTTGGCACAAAAGGATGAGAAGGGAGCGGAGCGGGTGGTGGCTTACGCTAGCCGAACTACAAGGGGAGCGGAGCGGAATCTATCCTCAACACACGGGAAGTGTTTGGCGGTGGTGTGGGCGATCAAGCACTTTAGGCCTTACCTCTACGGGAGCAAGTTTCTGCTACAGACGGATCACCAAGCGTTGCAGTGGCTCATGACGGCAAAGGACCTCACGGGGAAGCTGGCTAGGTGGAGTTTGCTGCTGCAGGAGTACGGCTTCACCATCACCTACCGGCCGGGAGAGACGCATAAGAACGTGGATTGCTTGAGCCGCATGCAACCGGAGTTGTATCTTCATGCGGGGGGGGGGGGAGGACCATTCTATTACCATGCATTCATTCCCTCACCTCCCATCTCCCACACAAGCCACCCCATCCCCATGTACACATCCCTCTTTCCCAGGGAGAAGAATGAAGAAGGGGAGAGTAGTGAGTCGGTGACCCAAGGGGAGAAAGAGAACGGTGGAGAAGAGGAGGAGAGCTCGGAGGAGAAGGACGGGGAAGATGATAGCAAGGGAGAAGAAGAGGAGGGTAGCGAGGAGGAGGAAGAAGGGGAAGCGGATGGTAGCCAAGAAAAGGAGGAGGGAAGCAAGGACAAGGATGGAGAGGTGGAGGAGGATAGTAGTGAGGAGGAGGAAGGGGAAGAGGTTGGAGAAGAGGAAGATAGTGGGGACTTTGAGGAAGGGCAGCGGCCAGAAGATGAAGTGGATGAACAGCTGTTGGAGGAGTTAGGGCAGCCTAAGAAGAAGGCAAGGGTGGATGGAGATGAGGAGGAAGGAGAGGAGGGGACCCCGAGTAAGAATCTCGCGTCCGAGACCACCCTCGACATCTGGGATGACGCTAACACGTTGTTCTTCCTAGAGAAGGGAGCGGTTGATCCGGCATGGAACTCGGTGGAGAAGAGGAGGGTAAGAGCAAGGGGCAAGAACTTCGAATAAAAGGATGGGAGGCTGCTAAGGAAGATCAAGGGGGATTTGAAGCCAGTACCTAGGAAGGAGGAGAGGAGGGATATCATTGCATTTCTCCATGGGTTGGGGCATTTGGGAGTGCAGAGGACCACGGATTTGGTCAAGAAGCAGTATGATTGGTACGGACTGGGGAGTGATGTGACGGCGTTTGTGAAGGGGTGTGCGACGTGTGTGTTCCAGAAGGGATCTTGGACGGCCAAAGGGGAATTGCAGCCGGTACCGGTCACGAAGCCGTGGGAAAGGGTAGTGATAGACTTCATCGGGCCACTTCACACCACAGCCAAGGGAGGGAACAAGTACGTGATCTCGGCCATGGACCACTTCACCAAGTGGCCGGAGTGCAAACCAGAGCAGCAGGCAGATGCGGCAACGGCAGCAGCTTTTGTAGCAGAGAAGATTATCTCCAACCATGGCTGCCCTCTAGTGATTCACATGGAGAATGGGACGCACTTCAAGGGGGAGTTTGGGGTGCTGCTGGAGAAGTTCGGGATCTACCATAAGTTCTCAAGGCCGGAGCATCCTCAAAGCTCGGGGCTCATTGAGAGGTTCCAAAGGACCTTGAAGGGGGCGCTGCTAAGGCTTGGGGAGGCCAACCCTTTGGAGTGGGATGAGAACATATGGTGGGTGCTACTGGGGTACAGGGCTTGAATCCACTCTTCCACCAAATTCTCCCCCTTCTTCCTACAGTATGGGCGTCATCCCAACATCACGGGTTCCACCATGGCGGATTTCGAGGTACGGGAGCTGTCGGAATTGTCCACGGAGGAGGAGGCGGATGCGGTGGCAGGATACCTATACAAGAGGACCTCGGATTTGGAGTTGGCCTTGGCGCTGGCGGCGGGGAATCATGACAGGGCACAGGAGAAGCAGAAAATGGACTTTGACCTAAGGAGGACGACGGTGTTGGAGAAGGAGAAATTGGAGAAAGGGGACTTCATTCGGATTAGGCCGAGTAAGAGGGTGGCATGGGAGAATCAGAAACCTAAGTTTAAGACCCTATTCAAGGTGAAGGAGGTGGAGCAGTTTCATGTGGTGTTAGTATGGAGCAGTATGGAGGGAGTCTCGAGAGAACGTGCAGCTGGTGAAGTTAGTGCCTTAGAACCTCATCCCCACTCTCCCCGCGAAGTATAGGTAACGCCTATACATCCCCACTCTCCCCGCAAAGTATAGATAACGCCTATACATCCCCACTCTCCCCGCGAAGTACAGGTACGGCCTGTACACCCCCACAATCAAGCGCTCATTATGACACCCACTCTCAACGGCTACCAGCGAACAAAGCGATCTTAGGCTATCAGCGACCAAGGCGAACGGGCGATCAACGGCGAACAAAGCAATCTATAGGTTACCCTAGGTTAGATTGGCCTTCGAAACGGACTTGGAGGCGACCAACGGCGAGCTCGGTGACCCGAGCACAGTGCGATCAAGAGATTCACACCTCCCCTCCTCCTCTTCTCTACCCTTCCGATCATCCCATCTTTCTAATCGAGAGACGGGGGAGCTTGCGACTCGACTGATCCTCGCTTTTAGGGCATCTATCACCATGGATCACACGAAGGAGGAGTTGTTGGGGTTGATGGGGGACAAGCCGTACCTCTGGTTGGCACCTATTTTGGGGACTGTGCAAGGAGGGTACTACTTCCGGGACGTAAGGATCGATTGGGAGGAGATCTATGGAAACGAGGCCTATGGGACGGTGTTCATGAGGATCTTGACAGAAGGTAATGCTCTGGTTTCGGACTTCGATCCGAATTCGATACTACCCCAAATCAGCTTTGTGGACCCTTGTGACCCTAGGTTGAGGGGAAGAAGCTTGGACATAAGGCACGGAGGGGCAAGGCTGGCCTTACGGTATGGGTGGGTCAGTAGAGAGGTAACTAGGGATGAGATGAGGTACATCAACGAGGTTCGAATGGCCTACAGGTGGAGTCCCTCCCGAGGAGAAGTAGTGCCACTGGTGGATGATGGAAGGAGTTGGGTAGTGCCTTGGCCACTGGAAGGAAGAGGAACGGATATCAACAACGAAGCAGCCTCATGGGATATTCATCTTCCCCCTCCCATCAACTCTCGAATCTGCATCGACACCCGCTTCCCTCTTCTCCGCTTCTATCCCTTACCTGAACCGCCTCCACCTACTCCTCCCCTCTTTCCCAATACCTATATGGGAAAACCCCTAACTATCGTCATCCCTCCTCCACCTATGCCTCAATATGCGCCTCCTCAATACCCTCAGCACATGCCCCAACCTTCACCACCCCCTATGCCGTTTCATGCCTCTAACTCACCCCCACCTCCTCCTCCAAACCCTTCCACTCCGCCTCCTCCTAACCCCTCCCCTCCCTCTCCTAATCCACCACCCTCTTCTCCTCCGCCTCCCTCACCTCCCCATTCCCCATCCCCTTCCCTGACGTACGACTCCATCTCCTCTCTCCCTCCTGACTCTCCTACAAACCAAGCTCCTTCATATTCTCCCGACTCTCCATCTACCACCCCTACACCCTCCACCCCCTCCTCGGACGACTATACCACTCCTTCACCCCCCTCATCTTCCTCCCCCTCTAATCTCACCACCTCTGAAGGGGAACTTCCCTGGATCCCAAGGTTCTTTGTGGCAATGCCCATGGACTATGAGTTGGAGCATGGGGAGATATTTCTGGACCCATTTGGAAGGAGGGTAAGGCGGGCAGTAACCGTTGGTTGGTTGAGGGAGCCGGTGGTGCTACAGTTGGAGGCGTTGTACCGACCGTATGGACAAATGAGGGACAGGCCGGGACCGGCGTAACACTTGGAAGGCAAGGTGAGACCAGTAAGGTATAAGCCTAAGGTGAAGAAGAGAGAGAAAAGCCTCTAGAGGATGGACCGGATTTGGTGCAGTACGAAGGATGGTGAGAACTCATGGAGTGGAATGGAATGACCCGGGATATAGGGGGTTTCTTTTAGAGCATGGTGTGAATGTGCCTTGACTGATTTTGGTATGGTATGTGGGGAGACTTGGGAAGGTACCCTCCCTTGTGTCAGGAGCCACAAGACCGCATCCGAGAAAGTTACAATTGTAACGTAAATCCTAAACTTCTAAAGATAAATCCTATGATCTTGGTAAGGTCTATTGGTTCGGGTTTATCCTCAGGTTATTTATAAGAGGGTTGGTACTTGTGGAGGGTATTTTACCAAGGTTTACCCTTTATTCTTATGCATGTAGTTGGGGATTGCATTAAGGAGGAAGGTGTGGACATAAGGAAGGTTCCTTGGGAATAAGAGTAAGAGGAAGGTTCCTTGGAAGGTGGCTTGTTGGAAGCTTCATTGGTGGAAGCTAGGAAGGATCTATTGGGGAAGGAGCATGGAAGGAGCATGGAAGGGGAATGAGGAAGGCAACAAGGAAGGTTCCATGGTGGGGATTCCCTTGGAGATATGGGTAGGCTCAATGGAGCACTCTCATTGGTTAGTTGGATTGCTAGGATCCGCGGCCAATAGAGAAAGGATTCCTAGGATTGCATGAATAAGATAGAAGGATGGTGGTTTGGGTATGCCCTTCCACTATATAAAGTCCTTGTAGGTTGTGTGTAACTCATATCTTTCATAGTGCATTCTTACCAATGCCACAAGCTCTCTCAACCTTCTAGCTACCTTGGTGCCTAGCCCTCTCAATCTACCTTGGAGTACCCTTGGAGTCTACCTTTGGTGGAGCATCCTACTGGTGGAGAAGAACCCAAGGAGAGGGCTGCTACTCTACAAGGGAGGAAGTGCTGGCCAAGAGAAGGGTGTCTCGTACTACAAGGAAGAGAGAGAAGGTCACGTGTATCCGGGTGATGTCCAAGAAGGAAGGTCAGAAAGTTTCAAAAGTTAGTGATTTTGAAGTTACAGGGTCTAGGTAAGAGATGGTTCTCCTGATCTGCGCGTGCACAGCTGCAATGTCAAGCTATGTTTGGGCGACGGAAATAACATAGAGGGACATAAGGAAGTCGAGCAAGGGGGTGATTTCTCAAATAATTAGTGTTGTGTTTAACCGTCACCAATAGAATTGCATTGGCATACACACACAGAAGCTACGCATACAAGAACAAGACATCATGACAAGTGCAACACACACTGAAAGGGCAAGTCGCTCACCTTTCGCTGCTAGAAAGGCTTGTTCAGGATGTTCAGCTGCTCGAGCACGTCTGCCACGAAGTACAACAGGAAGTGAAACCATTAGCTCGTGGCGAGCTCGTACAGTGTTTCGTCCCACTCGTACACGATGATCGCAGGGAAGACGGTCACCAGACGCAGAACATCGTCACTCCTGGAGAGCGAGCGGGCCTGATGAATCCCCTGAAGCTCCAGGTTCGTGGACGTGAAGAGTTCTTGAAGCTCCATAAAGCGTTGATGCCAGGGGGCGGAACGGCCGAGATGCTCTGCGAGTTGACGGATCAGGCTGTCAACCATGTCGAATTCGGGAAGGGCCGCCGCGGCATGTTTTGCTCCAAGCGCCTCCCTCAGGCACAGCACAACACAAAAATGCAACACGAGATATTAGCATAGGATGATACAGACAAGCAGTATAAGCATGGTTCATCAATAAACGTACCTGTGGGCAACACAGTGGCTTGAGACGAGATGCGGTATGTGGAGGCGAAGCCGTACGACGAGGCCGTTCTTGTGCCCCATCATCCCCTTCGCCCCATCGGTGCTTATACCAGCGATCTTGTGTAGCTCGATGCCGAGAGCCCGCAGGCCCAACATGCGGCTGGTAATGCGCATCGCCGGCGTGTTTGCCGCTTGTTTCCGTGCCGGCAAGCTGCGCGGACGGCCTCGCATCTAACCTAGTGACAACTGCAGAGGCAAGGGATTGCCAACGCAAAACACAGGCCACGACTGGCTGCCTCTTGGTACACTAGAGTGAACGAGGGAAACCCAGTTTCAGATGCAAAGCTTGGAGAAGAAGGGGCCCCTGGATGGCGGAAACGGTGGATGGGCTGGGCGGCGTGGAAGCATCCACGGTGCTTGCCAGCACAGCCCAACCCTAACGCATCGCCCGTGATGGGTACGGGGCAGGAACCTTGGCAGCCGGCCAGCACCACATGGCTGCCACGTTCGGATTGGCCAACACTGGATGCTGTAGCGAAACGGCCCAATGGTGTGAGGCGCCGCACCCAAAAAACACCTCTCAACGTGAAGCTGAGGCAACATTTCTAAGGGTGGTCCCGCCACGGGGTGCCTACATACAGGGAGTCTGAGATTCCCTGTAATTGCGGTTGAGTTGACATGGCACAGGTGAGATCCGCTTTTAGTGTCGGTTTCGTTACAACGTAGTGGCATCAGTGTACAACGGGAAAAAACCTGAAATATCAGTGTGGCCAATTAAAAAACGCTGAAAGATGAGTCCTACAAGAATCCCAACTCTGACTTTTCAGGGTAGCTTGAAAATTGGTTGCCAAAATCAGAAATTCCACGGTTTTTCCTGATATCTGAGGCCCTGATATCAGATATCAGATATCAAAAACCTTGTCACCCCGTGTCACCCGCACTTACCCGCGTCATCCCCACTTACCCGCGCTTACCCGCGTTTCCCGCGCTTACCCGCGTTTCCCGCGCTTACTCGCGTTTCCCGTGCTTACACGCGTTTCCCGCGCATGCCGCGCTTTCCAGCATCATCACCGCTTGCCTGCATCTCACGCTCTTTCCCGCGTGTGAAATGCTTACCCGAATCTCCCTCATTCTTCCCTCGTCGCTTGCGTTGCTCCTCAACGCTCTCGCCTCATGTTGTCGCCTATGTTTCCCCCATCCACACGCACTTCCCCTTATCCCCATGTCTATCCAAGTCGCCACGATCCGTCGGTAGCGAAGGCCCCCACACACCACCAGCATTCCCCCCACTTGTTCGCCTCCTTCCCCCCCCGCACACCACCAGCATTCCCCACTCCCTCCTCCCTGCTTCCCCACTCCCTCCTCCCTGCTTCCCCACTCCCTCCTCCCTGCTTCCCCACTCCCTCCTCCCTGCTTCCCCACTCCCTCCTCCCTTCTTCCCCACTCCCTCCTCCCTGCTTCCCCCCTCCCTCCGCCCTGCTTCCCCCCATCCCCTTCCCTGCTTCCCCCCATCCCCTTCCCTGCTTCCCCCCATCCCCTTCCCTGCTTCCCCCCATCCCCTTCCCTGCTTCCCCCCATCCCCTTCCCTGCTTCCCCCCATCCCCTTCCCTGCTTCCCCCCATCCCCTTCCCTACTTCCCCCCATCCCCGTCCCTCCCCCCATCCGCACTCTCGTTCCCATGCATGTGCACCCATCACTGTCTCCCCAGCCCTGCTTTCATCATGTGTACTCCCCCATGTGTCCTGTCGTGCGCCAAGCCTCCGATTTGCTCCTTTAATCCTCCGCCGTCTGGCGTCGCACCTGCCGCAAGTTGCGCCAGCGGACAGCTCTCCCATCGAGCGATCAGAACCGATTTCCCCCGCTGACGCAGTCTTTCTTCCGCCTCTCCCCTCCCTCTCCGCCTTCCTCAGTACTCCCATATCACTCTGTTTCACGCTCTTCTCAACGCCGCTTCCATCGACCCCGCATGTACATGTTCTGGCACGTCACCTACGTTTTTACTTTCTGTTCTGTTGTTGTCAGCTACTATGGGGATTAACCACACGTAAAGTGGTTAGCTTGTTTGATCGCGGTGTTTTCTTCTGAGGTGGTTGGTGCTTTCCGTTTTCGTTTTTGCTGGTGGTTGGATTGTGCGAGGCCCATGCCTCTAGTTATCAGGGTAAAATACCCTTTTTGCACTGACTGGCGGCCGCTTTTTTTCAGTTACCCTTTCACAGGCAGGGTAGTGGATTTTTTACCCTAGGCCAGAAAGTGTAAGTTTTTTTGTACCCTTTGAAAAACAGCGTAAGGAACTTATTTCCCTGACTGCACACTGTACAATCTTAGTGATACTATTACCGAGTGCTCCGTAGCGAGACGAAACTCTATACGGGCCCCTGCAAAACAATCCCATCGGGTAGATTCGAACCTACGATCTCTTACATTGTATCTGATATCGAACCATCCGAGCCACTAAGTACTGAAGTGCGTTGTTTTTGCAATTGTGATGATCCTAGATCTTAGAAGATACTATGGCCAAACAGACTAATTTATTTTTTGCCCTGCTTTTGTCAAGGAAACAAAAAATTTACCATACGCATCAGGGTTGACTATACCTAGAGCCCTCATTGCTAAGGGTGGCCCAAAACGAATCTGAAGCCCTGGCGAGGCCATTCTCCCCTGATTGAACCTGCTGAACGATCCTATCGACACTCATTCCAGTCGCAGTTCCTTGCTTTGCAAAGCTGCACGGTATCGTTCACCATCGCGTCACGTTTGGCGAGACCCCCTCGTCAACCCATCTCTTCCTCGCTACACTGACTTTGCCGAAATTCTTGTTTTCAAGGTTTCGCCAACACTATTTCAAACCCACATAACTTGATATTCTACCATGCTCACCTCGGGCTTTAAATCACTTGCTTCCAACATGGCGTTGGTCTTACATCTGAGATATTACGGTACAAAGAATCCTGCTTCTCCTTCATCATTGAAACACTGAGCACCTCAATTACACTTGTATACATACTAGGGCATGGCTCATTTGTCCATGCCGGTTACTGTACACCACACATCCAAAATTGAACAAATCTATATAGAATTGCACCTGTTGCTATAAGTTCCATAAGTGCTGGGTTGTTCGTCATGTTCAATCTTTTTTCGGCTCGAAGCGGTCAAACAGAGGCTTAGGGATGGAGTGAGATATGTTGTTGAAGGGAATTTGTAGGTCCAGTGCATAGATCTTCTTCACCCTCTCGTATGTTTCCTGCAGCACGTGCAGTGCACACAAAGATCATTGCACAAAGGTCAGCCGAGTGGGCAGCTATACACGTTGCTGGAACTTGCACAGCATAGAACGCATGACATGGCAACATGACACAGAAGGTGTGCTGGCCACAACAAGAAAACTATGTAGCTGGAGGGAAGGAGCTAGTGTGTATTAAGAGGAGGCAGGTCATGCTGGGTCCTCACCTTGTACCCATAAAGGTGCTGAGGCTAGTGGAAAGCAGCTAGTGTGTGTGTGCAAGGAGAAGGCAGGTAAGGTCGGGTACTCACCTTGTCATACACCTTTACGAGCTTCTCACCTTGTCATACATCTTCACGAGCTTCTCACCTTGTCATACATCTTCACGAGCTTCTCACCTTGTCATACATCTTCTTGAGCTTCTCACCTTGTCATACATCTTCACGAGCTTCTCACCTTGTCATACATCTTCACGAGCTTCTCACCTTGTCATACATCTTCACGAGCTTCTCACCTTGTCATACATCTTCACGAGCTTCTCACCTTGTCATACATCTTCACGAGCTTCTCACCTTGTCATACATCTTCACGAGCTTCTCACCTTGTCATTCATCTTCACGAGCTTCTCACCTTGTCATACATCTTCACGAGCTTCTCAACTTGTCATACATCTTCACGAGCTTCTCACCTTGTCATACATCGTCACAAGCTTCTCACCTTGTCATACATCTTCACGAGCTTCTCACCTTGTCATACATCTTCACGAGCTTCTCACCTTGTCATACATCTTCACGAGCTTCTCACCTTGTCATACATCTTCACGAGCTTCTCACCTTGTCATACATCTTCACGAGCTTCTCACCTTGTCATTCATCTTCACGAGCTTCTCACCTTGTCATACATCTTCACGAGCTTCTCACCTTGTCATACATCTTCACGAGCTTCTCACCTTGTCATACATCGTCACAAGCTTCTCACCTTGTCATACATCTTCACGAGCTTCTCACCTTGTCATACATCTTCACGAGCTTCTCACCTTGTCATACATCTTCACGAGCTTCTCACCTTGTCATACATCTTCACGAGCTTCTCATCCGAGCGGGTCTGGTGTGCGTTGACGCCGAAGTTGAAGATGTCGAGATGGTCGCCTCCGAATCGGTTCACCACATACTTGGCATCCTCCTCCAGACTCTCAAACCGCCCCACAAAGTCGTACTTTATGTGCCCCAGTGCGCACACGTCCCTCTGCGACACATGCATGCAGGCAAGTAGACGCATGCACGCATGGGGGTAGACACATGCACACATGGGGGCAAAAGCGTACACACAGGGGAGAAGACACGATGGTGGATTAGTTGCTGCTGGTGTCTCATGCTAGGTGGCGAATACCTGTTGCACATGCCTTCTTGCACATGTGCATACACAGACGGTCGCTGAGCAACTGAGTGAGTCCGTCCCACTGACCCATGTGCCAGTCCATGTGCCACCCACCCACCTGCAGGCCGATGTGCCGGTCCATGAGCCAGCGTCCCTTTCTGAAGACGAGGCCCACGAGCTTCACAAAGTCGTGGAGCGACACCAGGTCGTCCTTGCCCTTCACTGCCTCCCACTGTGGCCAAACCCGCTCGAAAAACGCCTGCACGGGGGAAGAGGAGCACGCGGTTAGTCAATGGTACGAAAGAAGTGTAAGGAGGGAAAGCCCACCTCGGCACAGCAGTTCGCATTGTAACCACTGAAAAGAAACACCGCTTTGGCTCGTTTCAGCACAGCACAGCATAGCACAGCACAGCACAGCACGTGTGTGGACGCAGGGCCGCAAGAAGTGAGATGGGGCCAGATAGGCACCGCCATGGCTTGGCGTGCCTCGTTGCAGTAGTTGCGGGAGCCCGGGCCCGTCTTGCTGTTGGGCGCGCCGGTGATGACAAGGTTGTTGGAGTAGGCGGAAGAGGCACTGCGACGGCAAGCACAAGCGGGCAGCAGCAGGCAGCAGCAGGCAGCAGCAGGCAGAGCTGAACCACACAGTGCAGACTCACGTCAATCCAGCACTCTCTGGAGCCACCACGCACAGCATGCGCCTCCCTCACTCACGTTATTCCAGTACTCTCTTGACCCCGGGCCGGTCTTGTTGTTGGGCGAGTCGGTGACGACGAGCTTGTTGTTGTACGCCGAGAGCACTCGTGAGAAGGGGTTGCGCACGAACGTCACGCGGAACAGGTCCGGCCGCGTCATTGCGCGCACCTGGGGGCAGGGCAACCGGGCAGAGGCGAGCAAGGAGAGGGAGGTGTTTGGGCGTAGCAGGAGTGGACACGTGGAGAGTGTCACATTGGGAAGGAAGAGGTGCATGCTCACTGCTCTCTTCTCTGTGGAGAGAGCACCGCACATGGCAACGTGCAGAGAGCACATAGCGGCGTGCAGGGCACACAAGGCATGGCAGCACACTCACGGCCTGCTTCTCTGTGAAGTGCACGTGCAGCATGTGCCAGCCCGCCCTGTCCTCGTCCAGCGCCAGCAGCGGGTCCTCGGGGTGCGGCTGCCCCAGCATGGCGCGCAGCCACATGAGCCACGAGTTGGCCGCTACCTTGGGTACCGTGCAGATGAACAGCTTGAGCTTCTCTGGTGAGAGGGGTGTGAGTTGCAATGAGGAGAGATGGAGAACGGTTCAGCACCGAAACACCGTGCAGACAGGAGTACGGGCGGGGAGAGGGTGGGCGAGCGTAAGGATTGGAAATGTGGGGAGGGAGAGAAGGTGAGTGTGGTGGAGCAGGGTGACAGGATCCAATTGTAGACCCCACTTGCCACCACCCACCTTCTCTCTGTGGCATGAATGCGTCACACAGGCTTGGTGGTGGTGGGCCATGCATCGCATCGCATCGCATCGCATCGCATCGCATCACAGTGCTCGCTCGCACACAGAGGGAGGGGGGTCCATTGAGGGCGAGGGGAGGAAGACAGACCTAGTCGCCACCACTCCGTGGCCGTGCAAATCACTTGCCATCTACCCGCCCACCTGCCACCCACCTGCCTGCCTGCCACCCACGTGCTACCTACCTGCCAGGGCACCCATCTTCCACCGTGGTGAACATGCATCTATGTGGGACCAAAAGGCTCGCTGCAGGCCGATGCCCTTCTTTACCCACCTGCCACCCACCTGCCACCCACCTTCCACCATGGTGAACATGGACCAGTTCTGCTTCGTGATTGGACGAATCTCCCACCGCCCGCACACAGACAGGTGCAGGCGGAAGGAGGGCGAGCGGCGGGCGGCCTGGGCGGCAATGAAGCGCGCCTCCACCGCGCTGCTGTTCACCGCCACCAGGCCGGCTGCTAGGCTCAGAGAGAAGAGCTCCGAGACCTAGGAGAGGAGAGGGGCGGGGGGGGAGAGGGGGACGTGGGGAAGAGTGGTGAGGGGAGTAGAGGGCGAGTTGGGCGGCAGCATCGATGGAGGCTCGACGGCGCTGCTGCTCATCACGGCCACCAGTGCTGATGCCAGGCTGAGAGATTAGAGCTGGAGAGCTGGCGGAGGGGGATGGTGGGGGAGAGAGGAAGGAGAGGGAGGGCAAAGGTCGGTCTACCGTCTGCAGCGAAGCTGAGCAAAGGGCTCTGAGATCTGAGGAGCGAGGGGTACAGGCGGGTGGAGGTGAGTATACAAGGCGAGGAAAGGGCGAGGGACGCAGTTAGAGTGAGTGACGTTGGGTGGGCCGCTGCTGGGCTGAGTGAGGTGCTGCTGGGCTGAGTGAGGTGCTGCTGGGCTGAGTGAGGTGCTGCTAGGCTGAGTGAGGTGCTGCTGGAAAGCTTGGGACTCCCAAGCACCAAGAGGGGTCAACAGAGCGAGGAGGAGAGCTTTGGGCTCAACATTGTGCAGAGCATGGCAACCCACCTGCAGTTGATGGCACCGCATTGAACCCACCTGCAGCTGATGGCACCGCATTGAACCCACCTGCAGTTGATGGCACCGCATCAGAGTCTCATCCGACACCTCCAATCTCCGAACCACTCTTCTCCCTCTCCTCCGCAACCCTTCCCCTTCCCTCCTCTCCCCCTCCTGCCCCATCCCCTCCCTTTCCTTCAACACCTCTCCCCCCACCACATCCTCCTCCCCACCCCTCATCCCCTTCTCCCCTCCCTCTCCCTCCTCCACCTCAACCTCCTCCTCCAGCTGACACGTGGCGGCGCGCGATTGGGTGGCATGGAGCAGGGCCGGGGAGCGGGCGGGGGGGAAGTAGTCCATGATGTGCGGCACGTGGGCGGGCGAGTGGGCGGCGAGGGTGAAGGAGACGGCACGGTCGGCCAGGTAGGTCATGGCGATGCGGCGCATGGCGCACATGGGGGGTGAATACTCCGACTCCTCGCTGCACCCGGGGCAGCCTGAAGGGCCCAGCGGCTGGGGAGTGGGCAGTGGGAGGAGGGATTGGGGGATTGGGGTGGGGGAGGGCAGCGAGATACAGCAGCCCCAGGCACCACCCCACCGCACGGCGTGAGCATGGGTGCAAGATGCGACAGAGGGCTGTGCTACAGCATGCATAAGGCTCCTCACATCAACATAGAAGGCGGTGGAGGTGGCGAGGCGGTGCACGTCCTCCTTGCGCACCAGAGCCGCCACAAACGGTGACTTGCAAGCACGGGTGCAACAGCAGGCGGTGCAACAGCAGGCGGAGCAACAGCAGGCGGTGCAACAGCAGGCGGAGCAGCAGCAAGCGATGTGTTTTCCCTCACATCAACATAGAATGCGGTGGAGTTAACGAGGCGGTGCACGTCCTCCTTGAGAACCAGCGCCGCCACAAACGGGGATGGCTCCAGGGCGCCTAGACACTCCTCCACCCGCCGCTCATACTCACACCAGTCCACCTCCACCTCCACTCTCACTTGCCCCACCCTCGCCCCCCCCGCGCCTTCACCCTGCCCACCCGGGAACAGACTCGCTCCCTCTCCCTCGCCCTCCGCCGCCCCTGCTGCTGCGGGTGCATGTGCTGGTGGTGCGTACGGGGTGTGAGGTTCAGCAGCAGCGGCGGAGTGGGGCGCGAGGAAGAGGTGCAGGGGAGGAGGCAGGTCGTGTGAGGGCGATCTGCCCGCTTTGCACCGCCGCAGCACCACCTGCTTGGATGGCGATGGATGGCGATGGATGGCGATGGGGATGGGGATGGGGATGGGGATGGGGATGGGGATGGGGATGGGGATGGAGATGGGGATGGGATGGGATGGGATGGGATGGGGATGGGGATGGGGATGGGGGCGGGGATGGGGATGGGGATGGGGATGGGGATGGGGATGGGATGGGATGGGGATGGGGATGGGGGCGGGGATGGGGATGGGGATGGGGATGGGGATGGGGATGGGGATGGGGATGGGGATGGGGATGGGGATGGGGATGGGGATGGGGATGGGGATGGGATGATGGGATGGGGATGGGGATGGGGATGGGGATGGGGATGGGGATGGGGATGGGGATGGGGATGGGGATGGGGATGGGGGCGGGGATGGGGGTGGGGATGGGGGTGGGGATGGGGGTGGGGATGGGGGTGGGAATGGGGGTGGGGATGAGGATGGGGATGGGGTCGGGGATGGGGATGGGGATGGGGATGGGGATGGGGATGGGGGTGGGGGTGGGGGTGGGGATGGGGATGGGGATGGGGATGGGGATGGGGATGGGGATGGGGATGGGGATGGGGATGGTGATGCATGCACACATAGGGACAGGACATGAAGAGGCGATTTGTACACGCAGGAAATGGGTGCATGAGAGACTGGAGAATGGAAATGCATCACACACAGGCAGGTGGGGAATGCAATGAGTGGATGAACCGTTCTTTACCGCTTTTTCCGGTAAATTTTCAAAAAGAAACGGTCGTTTCTTTTTAACCCTGGGTGGAGCGAAGTATGACGATAAGCCGTGTGTATATGGGCGGAAAAATCAAGGCACGAGGATAAGTGCATGGCCACCAAAGCACGCCCTCTCACGCGCACTGCCCTCTCACCCGCACTGCCCTCACTCCTCACCTGCTGCCGTGGCGAGGCGGCCAGTCGCGACTTCAGCGCGTCACTGCGCATGGGCAGGTCGCGCACCCACACCCCGCCCTTCCCCCCGCTCACTCCCCACCCCTCCGCCCCCTCCCCTCCGCTGCTGCTGCTGCTCCTGCTGCTGTTGGGCGCGGGGGGGGCGGAGAAGAGGTGGCGGAAGGTGGTGGCGGGCAGGTGGCGGTCGGCGGGCCAGAGGGCGAGGATGGGCGCGCCGGTAAGCGCCGTCAGCGCGTACGCCGCGCACAACGCGTGCACGCGCTCCGCCAGCGCGCCCTGGGGGGGGATAGAGGTGGGGGAAGAAGGGAGGTGGTGGGTGGTGGGGTGGGGCAGAGCATTTGAGACACAGCGCACGCACAATGGCAGAGGGGTGAAAAGGGGGGCGGGGAGGGGGGGGGGAGGGGGGGGAGAGGGGGAGGGGTGGGCGTAATGGAGAGGGGTCAGCAGAGCAAGGGGGAGTAGAGGAAGTGGGACAGATGTTGGCGGGCGGAGGGGTGGACGATGGGGGGTGGACGATCGGGGGTGGATGATGGGGGGCGGACGATGGGGGGTGGATGTTGGGGGGCGGACGATGGGAGGGGAATGACGGGGCCGGCTTCATAGCACACAACACAGCGCGCACCACAGCACAGCGCGCGCCACAGCACAACGCGCGCCACAGCACAGCGCGCGCCACAGCACACACCTCTGCCAGCATCACCGCAGCAGCACCGGCGCATTCGTTCAACCCATTGCCGTCCGCGCACCTCCACGGATCCACATCGCCCGCCCTCCCGCCGCCCCCGATATACGCGTCTTTGCTACCATCTGTGAGATACCCGCTCAATTCCCCGGTCTCGCCGCTCGCTTTCCACAAATCCGCGATTTTCTGCGACGCTTTGAGCAATGACATGCCGTTGAGAACCGCGACGTCGCTCTTGTCGTGCGACAGGCTCCAGTGCGACAGCCCGGCGACTGTTGCGACGATGAGGAGCAGCGGCGGGAGAAGCCATTGCATGCGGCGAGGCCGCTCGCCGCTGCCGTACGTCTTCCCCGTGCCGTGCATAGTCGTCTGAGGCATTGGCCGGAAGAGTGCGCGACACGAATGCGACGCGTGCAACACGTGTGCGACGTATCTGCGACGTGTGTGCGACGCGTGTGCGCCGCGAGCTATGCCTATGCGACGAGATTGGGGTCCCGGCGACAGTAGGCTGATCTGCCGTCATAAGGTCGGCAAACAAAGCGTCTAGCGCGCGATGAGTGGGAACGCTTATGCTCTATCAGTGATTGCTGAAAGCGCTCGATGCTACACATTCGGAACACCACACCCACCGAGGCACTCGCGAGCAAGGCACGCAGTCGGCATTCGCATTCGGACGCTCCGCGGTGGGCAGCAAGGCACGCGGGCGGTGTGAAGGGGCTGGGAACGTTACTATCCTGAAGTGCTACCTGATCCTGCGCATGCAACGGTCGTGATCGCTGAGCTCAACACAGCGCACCGCTTTCGTCCCTAGCGTCGACTTTGCTCCATGGTGCGCACTTTTAAAAAAACTCTACGCATAGTAAAAGCTTACACCAATTTCCGACCATATTCCTGACAACAAAGGTGGAGTCTTGTCTTCGGAGTACCTCTGTCCTCCATAATCAAACAATGCAAGCCGTTTCTAAAGGCAGCCATTTTGTTCCGTCTGACATTCCACCTTCATGCCTCTGACATTTCCAAACCAATCCTAACCAGCTTTCGAGTAGGTTGTCGCTCAGCACCCGCACTTGCTGACAACAAATTTAGCGCCAAACTGCCAACCAGACCTCCGCAACTTGAAGGGCAGGCTACGTAGGTGGTCCGCGGCTTGAGCTGGTTTGGTTTGGAGGAGGGTGTGTGGGACCGAGATGATTGGTGGAGGGGGAGGTTAGGGAGGTACGGAAGGTGGGAGTCGGGGGGCTTGAAAGCGCTTCGCAGATCTCGGCCCACGTTAGAGCGCTAGAAGGCTACTCGTTTTGTTGTTTGCATCGCTCTCACTCAAGCTTGGGCAGCGAGAATTAAAGCGTTTGTTTTGTAGTTTATCTTTCTACTCACTCAAGCAAAGCAGCATGTTACAGGTGCAATGAATCAAGGTAGCGAGGATTGCACTAAGTGTCAAACGAGTACAAAATGTGAGCGAAGGCATGAGCGAACATTTATACGCGAAACATGCAAACGGTAACGCGGTGCGTGCGAGCTAGCTAGTGCTACGCTGGCAGCGAGGCTCGGGCTAGTCCCGAAGCGTAGGCCGACACGGCCGGGCCAGCAGTGCGAGGTTTGGCAAAACAGTGCGCGCGAAGTTGGCGAAGCCCCGTTGGCAGTAACGGGAGAACAACGGTTGGTGCTGTACGCGATGTAGCCGGATGTCAAATGTTATAGCCTCTAGTGGGTTGCCAATTATATGCATGTATAGTTTAGATAGGCTATATGGGGGTTAACACTAGGGGGTACACAATTTCTCTCGACATTCTTGTACTCCCCCCCTTGACCTAATCCACATCCTAGCCTAAGTATCTTGTTACCGGACTCCGTAAGGAATGCCGAGAAAATTCCTTACACTACACCCCCCCCCCCCCACCCCCCCCTCTAGAAGCCCCCTCCGCTATGCGAGTGCGTGTATTCCCATAATATTGTGAAGGTATGATGGATTAGGGTTTGGAGGGTGGTACAAACAAGTGTCGAGCAAGTTTCTGTACCCCCTAAGGCTAAACCCACTACAGCCTACATAATATTAAACATACAATTTGACACACCCCCATAGGCAAAGTGGGGGATAGCCAACAAAACAAACGGTCACAAGACCAGTCAAGAGAGGAAACAAAGCAAAACAAGCTCAGGGTGGATCACAACGTCACCACGCATTCTGAGCACAAGCACAAGGTCACAAAGCCAGTTCACAAGCTGAGGTATATATTAAGGTGAACAAACAATGCAGTGATCTCAACCTAGCAAGGGTAAGCATGCGGGTGCAGGTATACATATAGATCACAGTACAAGCAAGGTCAAGAAGTGAGCAAGTGAGGCCAAGTAGGCACAAGACCTAGCATAGTACAAAAGCGCTGATGATCACAAGGCTGAAGTGCCTTGGTAAAGATATCAGCAGTGTTGGCCTGAGAGGCCACGTAAGCAAGGCGCAGCTGACCACGCTGCTGCAGCTCACGAGCAAGGAAGTACCGAAGAGCAATGTGCTTCGTTCTGTGCTCCAGTTGTTAAGTTGTAATGTGTTATTTATATGTAGGTAGGCTGTAGTGGGGTAGCCAATACAGGGTACAAACCCAACTAGGGTTAGCTACTTGTACCCAACTGTTTCTTTCAATGCACCATTCTTGCCTAGTTCTGTTAACATGGTATTCAGAGCAGGAGGTCCCTAGGACCTACCGACCGTTTTTTTTTAAGGGCCCACCACCGCTCGCATGCGGTTACCACGCTACCCCGTGCCCTAGCCTCGTAGCGCCCTCGTGCGCCCTCGTTAGCGCCCTCGTGCGCCCTCGTTAGCGCCCTCGCGCGCCCTCGTTAGCGCCCTCGCGCGCCCTCGTTAGCGCCCTCGCGCGCCTCTCGTTAGCGCCCTCGCGCGCCCTCGCTAGCGCCCTCGCGCCCCCTTGTTAGCGCCCTCGTGCGCCTCTCGTTAGCGCCCTCGCGCGCCCCTCGCAGCGTCGCCCGCCCGCCGAGCCGCCCGCTCGCAGCGTCGCCCGCCTACCGCGCTGCCCGTTTCGCAGCCCGCCCGCCGCGCTGCCCGCTCGCAGCGTCGCCCGCCCGCCCGCTGCCCGCTTGCAGCGTCGCCCGCCCGCCCGCTGCCCGCTTCGCAGCGTCGCCCGCCCGCCGCGCTGCCCGCTCGCAGCGTCGCCCGCCCGCCTCGCTGCCCGCTTGCAGCGTCGCCCGCCCGCCCGCTGCCCGCTTCGCGGCCCGCCCGCCGCGCTGCCCGCTCGCAGCGTCGCCCGCCCGCCTCGCTGCCCGCTTGCAGCGTCGCCCGCCCGCCCGCTGCCCGCTTGCAGCGTCGCCCGCCCGCCCGCTGCCCGCTTCGCAGCCCGCCCGCCGCGCTGCCCGCTCGCCGCGTCGCCCGCCCGCCCCGCTGCCCGCTTCGCAGCCCGCCCGCCGCACTTCCTGCCTGCAGCACCGCGCTGCCCGCTTCGCAGCCCGCCCCCCGCACTGCCCGCTCGCCGCGTCGCCCGCCCGCCGCGCTTCCCGCCGAGCTACCTACCTGCAGCGCTGCGGCAGCTTCCTTTGCTCAGTCGCACTGTCGCTATGGCTTCCATCCGCGTGCTGTCGTTCGATGCTGAGGGCCGCCCTGTGAAGTTCGCCACTTGGCTGGATGACCTGCAGCTGTTCCTTCTGAGCGATAGCAAGGAGCATGTGTCGCTCTATGATTACGCGTCTGGTGCTGCACCTGCCCCTCCTGCCACAGCTGAGCTTAGTGTTCGTTCCCACTGGCAGACTCGTGACGCAGCTGCTCGCCTAGCCATTCGCAGTCACCTGCCGCTAGCTGAGCTCGAGCATTTTGGCGACTGCAAATCCGCTAAGGCCCTGTACGTTGCTCGCTACTCCTCGCCTGCCACAGCCGAGCTTAGCCGCCTCATGCTGCCGTACCTGTTCCCTGAGCTGTCCACCTTTGCTACAGTCGCCGATCTTATCACTCACCTTCGCACTAGTGATGCTCGCCTGCGTGCCGCCCTTCCCACCGAGTTCTGCGCTAAGAATCCCCCTCCACTGTACTGGACACTCCACTTCATAGTCACCCGTCTCCCTGACACCCTCCGCTCAGTTCGAGACCACTTCCTTGCTCGCTGTCCCACTGAGCTCACAGTCGCCCTCCTAGAGGAGCAGCTGCTAGCGGCCGAAAAGAGCATTGTAGCTGTCGGTGCTGCTCGTGGCGCTCCTCGCACCCCCATCTTTGAGGGGTGTTCTCCCTCTCCCCTCGCTCCCTCCTACGCTACTGCTGCTGCTGTTGACTTCCTTGGTGCTGAGTCTGCTGGCGCTGCTTCTGCTCCTGGTGGGAGGCGCCGCACCGGCAAGGGCAAGGGGGGCAAGGGTGGCGGGGGTGGCGCTGGGGGGGGAGGAGGTGGGGGGGGAGGCGGTGCTGGAGGGAGCGGTGGCGGGAGCGCTGGTGGGAGTGGGGTCGGCGGTGGAGGCGGGGGCGGCGGAGGAAGCAGTGGCAGTAGTGGCGGCGGCGGCGGCGGTGGCGGCGGTGGCGGTGGTGGCGGTGGTGGCGGTGGCGGTCGGAGCGGTGGTAGTGGTGGCGGCGGAGGTCGGAGTGGAGGCACTGGCTCGGGCCAGAGCTCCCAGCAGCAGCAGCGTCCCCAGACGACCCAACAGCTTCGTGAGTGGCTTGCTCAGCGTGGGACGTCGGGGGGCAGTGGCCGCTGTTCCTATGTCATTCGCACAGGTGACCGCAAGGGACAGACGTGTGGGAGGTTCCACACCCCGTACCGCTGCTTCTCCCGCCTTGACGACGCTTGGCGTGAGGAGATGGGCGAGGATGTTGAGCGCCCCCGCTGGGCTGAGCTCATGAGGGCTGGTGTTGATATCTTTGCTCTTGACTATGATGCTATTATTGCTGCCATGTATGCATTGACTGTTAGTGCCGAGGGAGACTGTTACTTGTGTGTGCCGCCTGACCCAGGTATAGAGCCCGCTGCCCTGGGTACTAGTGAGTCTGCTCTCTCTGGTATGGTGCCCCCTGTACTTGCCCCCTCCAGTGCTGTCCCGGCTGTTTGCGAGTCTGCTCTCTCAGGTACAGCACCCACAGAGACTGCTCTCTCAGGTACCGCACCGGCTGAGGCCTGTCACACCTTCACCCTTGACTCAGGTGCTTCCCGCTGTTTCTTTCGTGACAGTACTGAGCTCACACCGCTTCCTGCACCGGTCCCAGTCTCCTTGGCTGACCCCTCTGGGGGCCCAGTCCTTGCCCAGTCCACCACTGTGCTCCCTTGTCCGGCGGTTCCGTCTGGCTCGTTGTCGGGTTTCCACCTCCCCTCGTTCTCGACGAACCTGGTGAGCAA